TTAGGTAGTAATAATAATATATTTATATATATTAATATATTTATATATAAATATATATATATAATATTTATATATATATATGCTTGCATGCTTTCTTAGAAATGAGTGAATGAGACCATGTTTGTTAGGGTGGACTCACTGACCGCGCGTCACACTGCGACGCGTCTGAACTTCTGCAGAAGAAAAGATATATTTTCTGTCTACTTGCACGCGCAGACCTATCTCGTGCGATTGGCGCATATGTTACTGAGATGTCGACGGATTGTTTCTTTCCGTTCAGCTTTTCGAAAGTACGATTGTACATCATCGATAGTAAACCACCCGTGATGAACAATAGTACTAAACGACTCTACAGCTGATTAGCTCTCATCGTATTTAGTGTAAATGAGAAATCATTATTTCAAGACTTTGCATATATATACATACACGCCCATCGACACTTATTACTTATACTTATTACTTTTATAACAAACTCATATATACACATATATCAGGAGCGTATAATGACAAATATTTGTCATTATACGCTCCTGATATATATATATAAACATATATATATATATATACACATACATACAATGTGTGTGCGTGCGTGCGTGCGTGTGTGTGTGTGTGTCTGTGTGTGTGCGTGCGTGCGTGTGCGCGCACATGTGTGCATGTGGGTGCAACGCGATCCACGCACGGCACGCACACAGGCAGGCAAACGGGTATACACGTATAGGCAGGCATATATAATACACACAGCATTTTACAAGGCTGTTTGTGTACATCTTCTCGATAATTACTGAGATAATGATGTCACACAGCGGGACGGTAAGTTAAAACCATACACGACCGTCCGGCGTGAAAGACAGTCCATGAAAACCTCCCCACGCATACGAGATGGCCGGACAGCGGTCCACAGGGCCGAAGAGCCGTCCTCGGGGCCGGTCAAAGTTCTGTGGGACTGCCCACCCGCGCGAACGAATGGCCGGTAACTGTTCTCAAGTGGTCAAGCTACCCTTCCAGTGGTCAGTGTTTATACACGGCCATTGTCTGCGCGTGCTTGGCAAAACAGAGGTTATCCGTAGGACAATAGGAGCGGCGGCGATGGAGGCGGTAACTAGGTGGGCGATCCAATTACACGTCCACGCACGAGTATATGAAGTGAAAGTGTATGTATAACAAGGTTCCCCCTACTCTATACCGTGAGAAGATTGATTGATCCCCCGCTGACGGACACTGACAGCAATGTAGCTGCTGCTGCTGCTGCTGCTGCTGCTGCTGCTGCTACAACCCCCCTTATGCTCGTTAATTTCAGTTAGTTTCACTCTCTTATAGCAGTACATTTATGCTAACTATGGTGAGAGAGACAAAGAGAGAGGGGGAGAGAACGATAGACGGACAAAGATACAGGGGGAGAGGGAGAGAAAGGTTAGAGACAGAAAGAGAGAGAGAGAAATAGATAGAGAGAGAGAGAAAGAGAGAGAGAGAGAAAGAGAGAGATAGAGAGAAGGAGATAGATAGATAGATCGAGAAAGAGAAAGAGAGAGGGAGAGAAACACCGACGGGGTAGAGTGTCTAGAGGGAGAGGGAGAGATAGAAAGAGAAAGAGTAATAGAGAAGGAGAATAAGAGAGAGGTGGGGGAGTGACAGTTCCATTCCGGTTGCATGTACAATACTCAGCACAAACAAATAGTTAGTTGCAGTGCGTGCTCGTGTTCTTTTCGCCACATAACCATCAATTTGCGGACTTTTTTGCAGAGTAAGTACAGTCGAGTTAGAAAGAGCGTAACCCATACGAGCAAACGCATATATCACTGAGTGTTCAGAAGACAAATCTCGCTCTATTTGTTTCCCACGCGTCCCTCTCATAGTCATTCTCTCTCTATATGTATTATATATCTCTCCATCTAAACCCGTCCTCTCATACTAGCTTTCTACATGTATGCATATATTTCAGGAGTGTCAAAATACAGACTATCTATATTATCAAGAGCTAATAATACCTATTTATATTAGGTATTATTAGCTCTTGATATTATGACACTCCTGTATATATGGCATGCAATATAATTATTGATAAAGGAACATGTGAGACACATTTGTGTGCAATGTGCACCGACCGCTCGTCATCTAGGTCCACAAGGGCGAGTTGCCAACTACTTTCAGTTGTGTGCATCTATCAGATGTTTACACATCAACGCAGCTCACCCGCAATCTTGGATCTGGTATGTCACTAAACAGTTTCGCAAGCCCATACACTCCTATATTCCACCAACGCGAATCACCGCGATTCCCCCGAGAAATCAACGGAAGCGGCAGCATCCCTTGACATGTGAGCCCCCGCGTGTGAGCGCCGAGCCGGCTTTCACATGGAGATCAGCTGGGTGAGCGAGCGGTCCCGTTGCCCCGAGGCCAAAGTCGCAGCTAGCGTGGCTGCAAACCACGAACGACGAACACGGTCACTAGTTTCTATGCAGCGCTGCGGATCTAATGTGTACTGTTGGCGTGTGTACACACACACCAACAGTACCAAGGCATCGAAGCTTAACATGCTCGTACCAGCAAAACGCGGTGTAGTAGAATGAGGGTGGTCATGTGTTATTAGGTGGCAAACCGTACGGTTACATAGGTATGCCGATGTTACATTTGCGGGCGTGTACATGTGTAGAGCGTCGTAACGCATGGCCTACAACCACGAGTTATAAATCAACACCGTGAACAACCATAATAGTGGGCTTGCGTGTGGAAACCCGTGGCGGCTGACAGCTAGAGTGCACAAGTACGTGTCACCCTCATTGATTAATGAAGAAAAATAACGCGAGAAGTAAGATTACTTTCCTTGTTTTATCTTGTTATGAACAGAAAAAAGGGATTCAAGTGTGGTCAAATGGGCGTCGGGTCCACCCGTCCCATAGCAGTGTCGTCCCATTGACGAAGTCGGCCTATTACAGACTCGGCCTATACGGACACTCATAATATATATGTTAAATAGAATCATATATATGATTTGAATGTAAATAAATACTATATAGCAATAACGTTATGTGTTAACAATAACATATATATACAATAACGCATATGATTCAAATAAATAGTTCAAAATAATTTCAATATGTTTTATCGTCTATTTAATCCTCTATCAATCATGCATTAACACTTATTTTTTATATCGGGGCCGATTATCTTGCAAGTATATATAAATATAGGCCGACTCTGCTATGGGACGAGTCTGCATGGGCTGAAAACGTTATGGTCCGAGGGATCCCAGAATCGGTCAAATGATGTCTTACCTTGCAATGGCACCTTCAACACTGTACGTGTTAGTGATGGGAGCAGTCTGAATAGCGAATCTGTTCCCGATCATGTCGACATGCATAGTGGTAGTCGCGTGTTAGGTATCCCCTGAAATCAAAATGTGATATTTTAGTGTAAAAAAGTTATTACTAATATTCGATGTAAACCCATCAAGTTAACATGACATCACATCTATTTACAGTGTTATAATAAACAGAGTGGCTATATGCCCGGCAGCCGGGATATATATCTGACGGCTGCCGGGCACGGTCTTCGATTTCCTAAATGCCCGGCAGTTTTAAATTTTCAGCGTTATATCTCAAGTAAACAAGGGTTAGGGTTAGGGTTAGGAACTGCCGGGCATTTAGGCAATCGAAGACCGTGCCCGGCTGCCGGGCATATAGCCATAGCGTATAATAAATCTACAGATCAAGCGTTAACACATAATTATAGAATGTGAACTAAACGATTATTCTATTATAATTATAATTAATTGAACTTCAGCCACAGTCATGCACCTGCAGCTCAGTGGTGGAAAACGCCATACACTGAACAGACACGCTGTGGCTAACAAAATTACAGCTTTGGGTCTGTTTTCAGGATGTCAGTTTTATTACACACCGAACTCCGTGACATAAATATTCCAAAAGCTTTTCGTAGGTATGTATATAGGCTAATATATATATATATACTAGCGGAAATATTAATAATAAAAACTTTGCGTCAACATATCCTAACTGCACAATTTAAATGCCACGCATGTCGTTCGAATTTTTAAAACAAAGTCCTAAAACAGTAACTCCGTCGCAGCCGCCTGGAAATAGAAGGTCCCTAGATATATTATAAGACAAACCAATGAGTGAATGAGTAACACAATACGTCGATATCCAGCACACGGCACGAAACTCAGAACAGCTGACTGGCTGACGATGATGCAGTATGTTTGGAACACGGTTTGTTTTGATGTCCATTATCCAGCAGCTACACACAATTCACAAGGGTCACACAACGCGTTTACTAGTTACACATGCACAGTTGGATTAATGGCATAACTAAGCATGCACATTGTACAAAATCTCGTTACGAAGTAGCATGAGAAAATATAACAAAAACCGCGACACACACCGTACATACATACAGTGATACACACAAACACACCTTCGTCAGCTGAGGTTTGCGTTGAATATGCCACACAGCTAGCAACACAGCCGAGAACCATTCAAACAAACCTACTGCAGCGCCCTCGTATGACTAATGCAAGAATTATGCCAGGGTCTAGTGCTGCATATACTCCAGCTTATACCCGCTTGTGCGAAATTGCCAAGAAACTCAAATAGCTTCTTAGCTGCTTCTACCTACTTTCGTTACTAATGTCCATACTATAGATTGGTTATTAGGATGAGGAAAAGGAATTAGGAAATAACTTCGTTGAAGGTACAAGGTTGCTCAAGCAATATTAGCTCGTTTTTTTAATTTTCGGGTGGATTGTATCCAGAATCTGTCGTCCTGCTATTATTATGCGCCGTATGGTTAGGATTTTTACGCGTTCTTTTTCTATTATTGAGTGATATCAAAACTTACCTAAATTTCTGCAATTCTCGAATCACAATTCAACAATATTCTACGATGGGCATTGACTCCTCACAGGCGCGCAAATCCATTTTGAAATGTGGGGGTCTGGGGGTCCCTTCCCCAGAAAAAATTAGACCTCCTTAGATGCATGCGTTTTCTGCGCGAGCATGGGGGAGGGGTTCGGACCCCCTGGACCCCCCCACCCTGTACACGACCCTGCACACACACACACACACACACACACACACACACACACACACACACACACACACACACACACACACACACACACACACACACACACACACACACACACACACA